ATTATATAGCACCCCTGCTACCATTTTGGACCAACTACCAGATTATCATGTCGTATGCCTTCGAGGCAAACTGTTAATCGAACTGTTTCCTCATAAAAAATACCTTACCCTGTGCAGATGAAGTGACATCATGCTCCCAGCACTGTTCCGTTCCGGACGTTCTGTCCTGCACGTACTCAAAGTGTCATACGTTGTGCTCTGAAATGTCAAATTCTGGGAAACGAATTCGCAATCATGAAAATAATTGATGTTACCTCATCAGAGTGGTTATCTTGATCCCTTGATGGAACACGCGGTGCCTTATATGCGAGCGCCAACGCGGCCGGTGGACAGACCAGCGCTGCAAGCACCCGAAGATTCGTCCCACTGGAACAACGTTTTCCACCGTCCTAGTATGTTACTGTCTGGACCGTACTCACCCACATATTTCGACTACACTGCCTGCACTTTATTTTGCTTTACATGGTCAGGGTTATAAGGACTGTCACCTTGCAAAAGCTGGGAATGATGGTGGCGAGGAGGCCCTACCGGGTTACCTGCATAGTAGACGTCCACGGTTAGCTGTGCACGTGACGGCTGCGCGTGCTCAGTTGTGCACTAGTATAGTTTCGGACAAGACGGTTGGACAGAGTTGCACTCTGCTTGTGGGGCCAGTGAACGCCTCTTCATCGTTCTAGGGTGAAAGGGTGTTGTGTAGGTAGATGGAGGCCAGACTAGTATTAGGTTGTCCGGAAAGTTCTCAGCGTTTTGAGTGTTTCACTTTAAACGATCATAACTTTCTTAATACTCATCGGATTTAATCGAAATAAGCACCGTTCGAATCAGCACACTTTTGCCAATGTGACACCAGTCGAGAAATCCCATCAAAGAAAAAACTGGGTGGTCGAGAATCCACGAAATCTACGAAGGTCTTTTTTGCCTGGTCCTAATTGATGAAGTATTTTCCAGCAAGGAAGTTCTGAAAAATGTTTGAAAAGGTGATAGTCGGTTGGTGAAAGGTCTGGAGAATATGGCGGGTGAGGTAGAACTTCAACCCCCAATTCGTTCAATTTATGGATAGTGATTTGTGAAACGTGTGGGCGGGCGTTGTCATGCAAAAGAATCGGACCCTTTCTGCTGACTGTTCAATGTTATCGCCAATGTTATGAACGAACAGAAGAATGTTATCGCCAAACTGCTAGATCGCATTCCAGAACGCGGACAGGGAGATTGCAATACGACGGAGCACATAGCACTCCCAAACTTGATGGCAGCGTTGAGCAACCGCATCGAAAAGTTTGTTCGACCCGGATGCCGACATGGTTTTCTCCAAATGGTTTTCAAGATACAAGGATGTGTTCATGGAAGACGCAAAGCAGCTTTCTGAAAATACCAAAGTAAGATTGCTCTGCGAAAAACTGGATCCTGTATCTTTCGAGAAGTACCAGAGACATGTGCTGCCAAGAGATGTGACGGAAATCGGTTCACCGAGACGGTGGACATACTCAAGCAGCTGTTCGATTTCAAGTCGTCATTGTTCACCACGAGATATCAATGTCTCAAGCTAGAGAAGAGCCAATCAGAAGACTTCCTCACGTATACCGGTCGTGTGAATGAATTTTGCGAGAGAGCAAAGATTCACGAGCTAGACTCGGACGGAATCAAATGCTTGCTGTGGATTTTCGGATTGAAGTCACAGCAGGAGGCAGAGATCAGGCAGAGGCTGATCACAATACTGGATAGAGACCACAAAGCAGGCAAAACGGTCTCACTGCAACAATTGCATCAGGAGTGCGAAAACTTCTTAAGCCTTAAGAGAGACAGTGAAGTTGTCGCCGGAACTATGAAACTAGTGGAAGCCACGTCCGTCCAGAAGCGAAAGGAAATAGAATGTTGGAACTGCGAAGGCAAACATCGTGCTAGTGGATGCCAGGCAAAACCGTGGTTCTGCAAGAAGTGCAGGAAGGTCGGTCACAAGGAAAAGTTTTGTGACACTTTACGACAAAAGAAGACTGCGAGTCGCACAGAGGCGACGCAGAAAACTCAGCATACTAAAGAGAAGTTCTCGAGGAACAGAAACAACAGAGGTCCGAGAAAGCAAGTACGAATCGTCAAGATTGCAAATGCAGCGGTTCAGGCAAACTCTTCCCGTGTGTACATAGATGCTGTAGTGAACAACTACTCAGTCAAATTTCTTCTCGATACTGGATCAGACATCACGTTACTGAACGAGAAGATTTGGAAGAAGATGGGCTCCCCAGCATTGGAAAAGACCAATATAGTCGTGAAAAACGCAAGTGGAGATTCCATGAAGATACATGGAAAGCTTAAATGCATTACCATGAAAGGTGTCACTCACTGAAGAGTATCGCTATGTGGACACCCCACAGCCTTCACTTTCGGGTCTCGAATGGATCGAGCCAAACGAGAAATGATGTACCACATAAAATGAGTAGCTGCGGAAGCTGAAAGCAAACTGAACCCAGACGTGAAGAGAGGTGAAGAAAACATTCCTGGATGTTTTCGAAGAAGGTGTAGGACGCTGCACCAAGGAAGAAGTCAATACGTTGAAGAGAGGATTTAGAAATCTCAAAGGGGAAGAGAAACCGTCAGAAGACAAGTTCAATGTTATATTGCAAGCACACCGAACCACCCCACACAGATGTCTTGAGGACAGAACAGAATCATCGACAGGGATGGACGCCGAAGAAAATCGAAGGAAGATGAAGCAAGAATACGCTAGGAGGAACGGTTCCATTTCGAAGGAATTCCATAAGGGAGAAGACGTGTACGTACAGATGTGGAAAGCCCCACGCTTCACATGGAAGCAAGGAGTTGTCGCAAAGCGACTTGGGAAGGTCAACTATGAGATCGTTGAAGGAAGGCTGATGCGGAAACTCGCTAATCAATTACGGCACAGCAACACAACCGCAAACTGGAGATGTGAAGACAAATCGTTAAAAATCCTGCTCGACGTGTTAGAATTGGATGACAAATCGGCCTATAGAAGCAGTCGACGAGGTTGACCTAGTGACTTGGACGTCAGCAACGCTATACCGTGCTCTGAACCATCACTGCGACGATCGAGTAGAATACGAAGACCTGTGAAACGATATGGCATTGATGTGTAGATTCGAATTTCGAATGCTTTGTTCCCTTGTAGTAGAAAGACAAATATTGTTGTTCACATCTTTCCTTGTCTTTCTACTGGGGGGAGGTGTTGTATAGAGGAATGAACTCTGATAAAGTGTGATACTGCGCACCTCTTTTGAGAGCGTATTTAAGAGAGGTGAGCGGTAGGGTTGAGTTAGTTTTGTGTGTGGTTTACTCGTCAGATAAACCTACTGTGCGTATCGTCTATTTCGACACTCTCAATACAACACAGAGCCAAGGGGATCCAAGCCATCAGCTAGAATCTTACTTACCATTGTAATGATTGCGAGCTATTCATAATGAAGTGCCAATTAGCGACAGCGCCACGCGACGGTTATATTTGTAATATATATGAATCAGCTTCAATGAAGTCAGCTTCTTGTCGCGCTTATCAAGAACTTAAGCATAAGCAAAGCTACTGAAACATATACCTCGTCATCCGGCAGTTGATTAGGGCGGTCGTCAACGGGCCGCAGCGCGTGTCAGGAACTATTTGCTTTTTCCAGGCTAATTTAGTCATTTTTTCCAACTTTTCACTGTTTTGGCTACTTTTTCCCAGATTAGCAGCTCCTTATCTTCACAAGGTGGAAAAAATGACTAAATTAGCCTGGAAAAGCAAATAGTTCCTGGCAC